TGTATTCCCACCAACAATGAATGAGAGTTCCTGTTCCATATCCTCGTCAGCATTTGGTGTTGTTAGTGTTCCAGATTTTGGCCATTCTAATAGGTGTATAGCAGTATCTCGTTGTTATTTTAATTTGCATTTCCCTGATGACATATGACACAAAACATCTTTTTTGTGTGTGTGAGGAAGATCGGCCCTGAGCTAACATCTGCCAATCCTCCTCTTTTTGCTGAGGAAGACTGGCCGTGGGCTAACATCCATGCCCATCTTCCTCCACTTTATATGGGACGCCGCCACAGCATGGCTTGACAAGCGGTGCATCGGTGCGTGCCCGGGGTCCGAACCGGCGAACCCAGGGCCGCCGCAGCAGAGTGCGCACACTTAACCGCTTGTGCCACCAGACCGCCCCTGCAAAACATCTTTTCATATGCTTATTTGCCTTAGGTATACCTTCTTTGATGAGATGTCTGTTAAAGTCTTTGGGCCATTTTTTAAAATCAGGTTGGTTGTTCTCTTATTGCTGAGTTTTTTATGTATTTTGGATAACAGCCCTTTATCAGATGTATCTTTTCCAAATATTTTCTCCCACTCTGTGTCTTTTTATTCTCTTAACAGTTTCTTTTGAAGAGCAGAAGTTTAAAATTTTTGTTTGTTTGTGAGGAAGATTGGCCCTGTGCTAACATCTGTTGCCAATCTTCCTTTTTTTTTTTTCCTCCCCAAAGCCCTAGTACGTAGTTGTGTGTCATAGTTGTAGGGTTGTAGCTCTTCTATATGGGACACCGCCTCAGCATGGCTTGATGAGCGGTGAGTAGGTCCACGCCCAGGACTGAACCCGAGAACCGGAGGCCGCTGAAGTGGAATGTGCAAACTTAACCGCTTCACCACCGGGCCAGCCCCAGAAGTTTAAAATTTTGAATGAAGTCCAGCTTATCAATTATTTCTTTTGTGCATCCTGACTTTCGTGTTGCATCTAAAAAGTCATCGCCATACCCAAGGTCATCTAGGTTTTCTCGTATGTTATGTTCTAGGAGTTTTAAAGTTTTGCATTTTATATTTAAGTCTGTGATCCATTTTGAGTTAATTTTTGTGAATGATGTAAAGTCTGTGTCTAGATTCATTTTTTTTTTGCACGCGGATGTCCAGTTGTTCCAGCACCATTTGTTGAAAAGACTATCTTTGCTCCATTGTGTTGCCTTTGTTCCTATGTCAAAGATCAGTTGACCATATTTATATGGGTCAATTTTGGACTCTCTATTCTGTTCCATTGATCTGTTTTTTAAAAGTCTTTCACCAATACCACACTGTGTTGATTACTGTAGCTTTTTAGTAAGTCTTGAAGTCGGTTAGTGTCAATCGTCCCACTTTGTTCTTCAGTATTGTGTTGGCTATTCTGGGTCCTTTGCCTCTCCATATATACTTTAGAATCAGTTTGTTGATACCCACAAAATAACTTGCTGGGATTTAGACTGAGATTGCATTAAATCTATTATAGATCAATTTTGGAAGAATTAACATCTTGACAATATTGAGCCTCATATCCATGCATGTGGAATATCTCTCTGTTCAGCTCTTCTTGACTGGTTTTCTCAGAGTTTGGTCATTTTCCCTAGATACATCTTGCACATATTTTGCTAGATTTACACTTAAGTATTTAACTTTTTTGGCTTCTAATATAAACAGTATTTTTAAAAAAATTTTAAATTCCACTTTTTTTTGTTTTTTTCTAATTAAAATATATTTTTATTGATGTTTTAATAGTTTATAACATTGTGAAATTTTTGGTTGTACATTTTTGTTTGTCCATCACCATATACATGTCTCCCTTCATGCCTTGTGCCCACCCCCTACTCCCATTGCCCCTGGTAACCACAATATACTTTTCTCTGTCCATGTGTTGGTTTATATTCCACATATGAGTGAGATCATACAGTGTTTGCCTTTCTCTGTCTGACTTATTTCACTTAACATAATACCCTCCAGGTCCATCAATGTTGTTGCAAATGGGACGATTTTGTCTTTTTTTATGGCTGAGTAGTATTCCATTGTATATTTATACCACATCTTCTTCATCCAATCATCAGTCGAGGGACACTTGGGTTGTTTCTACTGCTTTGCTATAGTGAATAATGCTGCAATGAACATAGGGGTGCATAAGCCTCTTTGGATTGTTAGTTTCAGGTTCGTTGGATGGAGTCCCAGTAGTGGGATAGCTGAATCATAGGGTATTTCTATTTTTAATTTTTTGAGGAATCTCCATACCGTTTTCCATAGAGGCTGCACCAGTTTGCATTCCCACCAGCTGTGTATGAGGGTTCCTGTTTCTCCACATCCTCTCCAACATTTGTTGTTTTTTGTCTTGGTGATTATAGCCATTCTAACGGGCGTGAGGTGATATCTTAGTGTTGTTTTGATTTGCATTTCCCTGTTGATTAGTGATGTTGAACATCTTTTCATGTGCCTATTGGCCATCTGTATATCTTCTTTGAAATTCCACTTGTTTTTTGATATTATATAAGAAAGTGACTGATTTTTATATATTAACTTTATGCCCTGCAACCTTAATATAATCACTTACTAGTTCCAGGAGTTTCTTTGTGGATTTAAAATTTTTTTTCTACATAGATGACTATGTCATTTTCAAACAAAGACAGTTTAATTTCTTCCTTTCCAGTCTATATATCATTTATTTCCTTTTCTTGTCTTATTCCATTAGCTAGGACTTCCAGTACAATATTGAAAAGGAGTGGTGAGAGGGGCCATATTTGTACCTGATCATAGTGGGAAAACTTTTGAGTTTCTCACCATTAAGTATGATATTAGCTGTAAGTTTTCATAGATAATTCTTTATCAAGTTGAGGAAGTTCCCATCTATTCCTAGTTACTGAGCATTTTTATCTGAATGGGTGTTGGATTTTGTCAGATGCTTTTTCTGCATCAATTGATATGATCATGTGATTTTTCTTCTTTAGCTTATGTCTTGACATGAGTACAGCCATGTTGGGCCTTTGGTTCCATTGACCTATAGCCACCAGCACACAAAGAAATATAAAAAGCTGCTTTCTGTGTGGTGGGAACTGGCCCTTCTCCCATGGAGAGAGTTGCCAGTTGTACTGTTTCAAGGCTCTTCAGGCGTCATAGCATGGGACGGACTGGCCATCTGTGCCAGGCTGGGACGATAGCAAGGGGGATTGGTGCACGTACACCACTAATAACCATTTGTGCATGGGAACACTAAATGCTTGCTCCGCACAACTCTGTAACTGCTTATATAAACTGCTGGAAACTGAGGCCTGATGAGAGTTCCACCTGTGGAAGGGACGCCTTGCCCAGGACAAGTGATTCCCGCCCAGCCCTGTCAATTGAAGGGACTCTCTCGGCAGTGGGGCATGGATGCTGTGAGTAACTGATCTGATGTGTTCTCTTTTCGGTCAACCTGGTGTTTCTCTTTCCGGTTGATTTGTGTCATTTCCCTTCAGTCCATGTGGATGTTTTCCCTTTCCAGTCGATCTGATGTTTTTCCCTCTCGTTATATGACCTATTTGAATCTGTTGCTATCTCAGCCGATGTGGATGTTTTCCCTTTCCAGTCGAGCTGATGTTTTTCCCTCTTAATATTTGACCTATTCGGATCTGTTTGTGGACTATCGCCTTTACTCTCCTCTATACAATAAAATATACCTTTAGTCCATTTGTTTGGAGTGGAAAGTTTCTTTTACATCTCCGATCGAATCCCCCGAACCTCATAACAGCTTATTGATGTGATGGATGACATTAATTGATTTTCGAATGTTGAACCAGCCTTTGATACTTGGCTCAGAGGGGAGGTGACAGGAAATCCTGCATCTGCACTTTTTTTCAGAGGGGGCCTACTGAGGCGGGGGATGATCCGAAGCCTCAGGCCAGCTTCCAGACCCCCAACCCAGAGGCAGAAACCCTTGCTTTCACATCAGAGGTCAGGTGCAGAGAGGCACCCTCAGCCACTGAATCCCAGCTTCCCCTCACCACTAACCTCAGAGGAATTGAATGTATGTCAGTATATGGAATAAGAAATACTCAATATAGAAGAGTATTGCTCAATGAATTGTACACAATGATTAACTATACAGACAGGAGAGGTGTTTTCTGTTGGAACCACAGAGATCCATTCCTGTACCTCTGCTTCAGGGTAGCCAAACATCCGTCCACTATAGTCTTGTCATGGCACTATCTGGAGTATTTTTTCTCTTGTTCCTGACCAAACATACACAAAAATAAGTGACAAAAATGATTCTAAAGCTTCAGAGTGCATGCAATTGAGCTAAAATACAATAATGTTTATTCGTGTTAAAAAACAAAATGCAACTGAATAAAATTTAAAGATCTTATTGGTTTTATTCAGCTATTCATGAACTAGGCAGCATCCGATCTAGCAAAAAGGAAGGAGCTCCAGAGGAGCTGTACAAAATCAAAGACTTTTATATGCAGAAGCCAGCAGGAATAGGCAAGTCATAGTAGGCATCTGCTGATTGGTTGAGGCAGGGTTACTTTCCTTATACGGAGCAAAGGGACGTCTTGGAGCCGGGTCACGTAATTTGTGCCAAACTGGCAAGTGCTGATTGGTTGACCGAAGCCTTCCTTTTCTGGGACAGCCAAGCATAGAAACTTAGTTAAGTTTCGGTTTGCTGACATGGGGCTAAGTATGAGTGACTCCATCTTGGGCGCAATAAGGTTACTTTAACATTAGATTTAGCTTCCAGTGGACGCATTTTGTGCCTGAATGACTATGGAATGATATATGCATTTGGATTTCTGACCTTATAGAGCATCTAGAAATGGCCTCTGGGAACACGCTGAGTTTCACAGAGTCTGAAATAATGTCTCAAAACACTTGGTTGATCAGTTGCAGACAGTACTCCCAGAAATCTGAGTAGAGTCCCTTTAGGAAGGAGCGAAGCCTCTGTTCTGCCCTTGGACCACAAGCCGCCCTTTCCAAGTGCCTTGTAGTTTTGCGTTTTCTCCAAGACATCACGTATGGACCGACCTTTTCCAGGGACTGTGGATGTGGAGAAACTACGTTACCCAGAATGCTCAGCGCGGAACGGCAGCATTGGTAACCAATGAAGTCTCAGAAAATAGGCGGTCCGAGTGAGGCGCTGACTGTAGGGGCGGGACCTCCGGCCTCCTCCTCTTGCCTGTCGCTTTGGCAGCTGTGTGGTGGGTTTACCTCCGACACGGCGACGCCGTCCGGGGGGCCCGCGCCAGGGCCGGGACAGGGACCGCCGTGCCCGGGTCCCCTCCTCTCCCGCCGCTCCCGGCCCCGGTCCGTCCCCGGAGTCCGATGGCGGCGGCGGCGCGGAGGGAGCCGGCTCAGGTCAGTGCTCGTGCTCCGCGCCCTCCCCGCCCTCAGCCCAGCCCAGCCCTAGAGCCCCGAGTGCGGGCGCCGCTCACGGGCCTGCAGCCCAGGCCCCGGTGTCCGGGACGGGGAGGCGCTCGTGGGGCCTGTTTCTGAGAGCCGGGGTGACGGGTGTGGGAGAGGGTCCCAGGGGAGGGCCCGCGGGGGAGAGGCGTGGAGGGCGACTGAGCCGGGAGGAGTCGGGGACCCGGGGTCCGTGTTCTGTCTGCAGTGAACAGAGTGTGAGGCGGAGTTAAACCTGGAATAGCAGGCTGAGGGTTGTACCATATTGTGAGGACCCTCGAAGCTACGGACAGTTTTGAACAAAAAGAGACACAATCTCCGTTAGAGGGTTTTTGTTTTTGTTTTTTCGTGAGGAAGATTGGCTCTGAGCTAACACATATGCCAGTCTTCCTCTATTTTGTATGTGGGTTGCCGCCGCAACGTGGCTTGACCATTGGTGTGTAGGTCCGCGCCCAGGATCCGAACCCAGGAACCCCGCTGCGCCAGGAGGTCATCCCCACCGTTAGGGTTTTAACACTTTCCCAAAGCTTGTTCAAAGGAAGAGAGTGGAGGGAGATGATGAGGACGTAGAGCCTGGGAGGTGGAATCTTTGTTCAGGGTCACACAGCTGTTAAGAGGTGTGGCACAGAACACTGAGGCCCGGAGGTTAGACAGCCAGCCTGAGGTCACCTGGCCTAGGACCAAGGAAGAGTATAGGGAGGCCTGAGCCCATCAAACCCCTCCAGAGCCCCATTCCTCTAAAGGCCTGCTCCTTCTCACAGGTTCCCATGACTGCAGAAGTGCTTATGGAACCCACACAGGTAAGTGGAGAGTGTCCCACTGCTACACGGATCCCAACCCCTACTTTGGATTGTGGTTTCTTGGGAGTTTTAATGCTATTTCTCTAGTCCTTGAGTCTGAGGACCCTGGAGAAACCCCAAGCCCTGGGTCCTAAGTTCGTCCCAGCCTTCATATAGAAGTGTTCCCATTACTGGCAACCGGTGTAAACAGGTGTGGAAGGTTAACCCAGGAGCTGGTACTAGGATGTGCATATACTTAGAGGTAAAACTGATCAGAGGAAGGAAGTGATATTATCAAGATTTTAACAGGCTCCATCTGGGTGGAGAGTGGAGAACAGATGGTGGGCTTAAGGGAGGAGGAAGGAAGATGAGGGTGAGGCTACTACCATAGTCTAGGTGAGAGTTAATGGACAAGAGTTGTGGCTTAGGAGATGTGGTTGGAATCTGGCTGCATGTTTTAAAGAAGGGCAACTAGATTCTCTAATGTGGACAGTGAGGGAGTCAAACAGGAATTAGGGATGACCCCAGGGTTTTTGGTCTTAGAAGCTATGGGGATGGAAGCTGCATCAACTGAGATGAGTAAGTTGGCAGTTGGTGTAATATTTATTGGGGATATCAGGAGCTTTGTTTTGACCATGTTAGGATGTTTCAGAGACCACTGAATAGAGGCCTCACATGGGCAGCTGGACACCCAGGTTGAGAAATCTTGGGAGGTATTCAGGATGGAGACATCCAAAATATAGTAGCTGCTGTGCAGACCAAGATGAGTGAGCTGTGGGTCACATTTAGGAGAGACCGTCTTCAGGTTACAGTGGCAAAGCTATTAGGTGGGTGAGGAAGGGGAGGGTGGGGGCCCAAGGACTGTGTCTTTTGCTTGGGTACCTGGGTGATGGAATTGGGCTTCATAACCACAGGTGAGGGAGGTAAGTGGTCATGAAAGTAGAGTATATCAGACAGGATAGTCTGGAAAGTGGCCAAAGCTTACAAGGGAAGCGTAGAAATGAGGTGGATACAAAAGCTTAGGAGTAATTAAGGCAAGATACACTTAGGCTGAAACTGGTGCTTATTCACCACTTTATGGACTCACTAAGATTTTGTGAGGACTTGGACAGATCCTGAGGTTTTTCATTCAACCAGATGGATACGGTCAGGGGCAAATTTGGTCAGTCAGCTGCGAGTATCACTAGACCTGGTGTGGGTGATCAGTGGGGCTGGGCTTTGAATGAGGGTTGGATGGACAGAGTAAAGTTGTCATTGCTGAGGGCACAGCAAGTGCAGCAAAAGTAGTATAGGTCCGTGGGTGTCTGAGATCGACACGTGGTCCTGTGTGGCTAAGTCTGAGGCAAGGAATGTAGTGAGACCATCATAGAATGATTTGGGGCTGCCATTGCTAATGGGAACCATGAGAAGTCTGGGTTAATACTGGATCTTGTTTGAATTTGACAAGCATACTCTGGATGCTATCTGCCAAGTTGTGTTGTAAATCCTAAAATTAAGGCCAATAGATGTGCTGCCTTGACATCTGGTGAAACCAGGATGCCTCAAATGGCCCTAGTGCAAGTTTCCCTCCACACTCTGCTCTCCTAGATAATGCCTTCTAGCCTCACAACCCTTTTTACCAAGGGGAGCAGGCGCAGTTCCTGCTTATCCCTTTGTGGTGGGTTTCAGTTTCCTACCAACCTACAGAGTTATTTCAACAAGCCAATCACATCCTCCTGCAGGAATTGTGGCATCCCACCCTCTTGATCTTACAAAGATTGCATCCCACAGCCCCTGGTTGTTCACTCTTTTCCAGAGTGCAACCTTCATGTGGCCTTGTGTGTTGTGTGGTGTCCTCCTCTCCCAGGCTGTGAGTGTATGTGATTATTTAAACAGCTGTTGATTGCATCTGTCCAGTGTCAGGTGTTGTGTGTCCACACACCTAGCAGGGAATCACACCCTCACCAGTGGGGTTTTGAGGAGATGATTGAAATACAAGTAACTGCCATTGCTAGGGGGGTGGGCAAGGAGATGCCTATGGTGTGGGCAGTGATTGTGGTGCCCATGGGCGTGTGGCTGTGGGATCTGCGGATGTAAGGGATGTGCATTCTGAAGAGTGATGTGTAGTCAGACGGGAGCATGTCTGATGGTCCCAGGGCACTGCTTTGAGAATTACATGACAATGGCCATACCAGGGGAATTGCCTGTGGGTGGGTGGGTGGGGGGTAGATCTTTCTGTGCCAGGCCCACAGCTTAGATATCTATTTGTCCACCTGCCTCTTGCTGCTGATGGCTTTACCCAGTAGTCAGTGGGCCCATGAGAAGACAACAGCACCAATGATACCAGGGCCTGGTTTCTTCTCTGAGTTGGGGAGCTTGGGAGGAGGATGGACATACAGTAGCTATGGGGAAGGGGTGGATTATGGCTCCTCAGGAGTGGGGCTGTTTGTGGTTTCATCTGTCACCATCATAGCAGGGCAGTGTGACCTTTGAAGACATACCTGTGAACTTTACCTGGGAGGAATGGGATCTCCTTGATGAGGCTCAGAGATGCCCGTACCAGGAGGTGATGCTGGAGAACTTAGCACTTATAACCTCCCTGGGTAAGGCCCTCATACCCACCCCTGTGCCCCGAGATACTCTCTGCCCTTCCTCGTTCTCCAGGGGCAGGTCTATCCTTATGTAGGACCATGGGCACTGCTTCCTTCCTCAATTTCCTTGATAGGTGCTGGGGTTGATAGGACTGAGATGTATGCACTACCTTCTCCTCATCTCCAGCAGGCCCAACACCTGCTTCCCTGCAGTCTCACGGGGAAGATGTCAGAGGCAGAGGTTTTGCAGTCACCCCCATGAATCCCACCTTGCTTTGCCCTCACCAAAGCCAGGTGACTTTGTCCAGATCCAAGGCACCTGTGCCCCAGGTTCTACTTCTTTCCCCTACCTGACATTTCCTCGTGCCTGCCTGTGCCAGGAATTGCCGTCACTGAAATTCTCAGTGCTCATGTGGACCATGGTCTGTTCTTGCAAGACTCTTCTCTGAAATTCTCTGTGTAATATTTAGTTTCTTTCCTCTGGGCTATAATGTGCTGAGTTGTTCTGAGCCAGTGCTGGCTGCTCATCTGTCTTGTCTTTCTCTCAGTACTTGTATCATCCAGGTCCCATGTACTTGATCATCTTGGGGATGGGGTGGAGATCCCTCAGTGGTCCGCTAGCTGGATATATGAATCCAGACTCAGCAAGATGGGCTCAGAGGGAGCCTGGGCCCTGGGTACCTTGAGGGAAGGCATTGCTTCAGGGCTGTATTGAAATGATCCCAGAAACCTGTTCTGTTTGGCTAGTATTTTGGTGCCAATGCCTGTGACTATACACTATTTCTGCATTTTTTCCCCCATTCTTGACACTTGCCAACCTGTCAGTTCTATACATTGTCACTTCTGTGCTTACATCCAGCCCGTGGCTAATCCTCATATCTCTGGACTCCCCGTCTCACCCATTTTTCTCACTGCTCCATCTGCAGTGGTCTCTAGCACTGGCTTACATGATTTGTATTTTGAAGTGTGTATCCATTCTTAAACAGTCCCTGACTAACAACTGCTCTGTTGCAGTCCTGTTTTCTTGGGCCTGGACACAACCTTCTGCATAGCACTCGTGTCACCAGCAAACAAGGTCCTGCTGACACTTGTTTGCTCAGGAGCAAGTTGTCCACCCTACCTCTCCTTGTGACACACCACATGGTTGTGTCCTTCAACTCTTGAGACCTCTCCATCCTGTGACTTTATAGCCCAGTGCTGCTGAACAGCCCTGTTTTCAACTTGAAGCCAGCTCCCTGTTCTTGTAAATAATCACCTAGACTGGTTCCTGGGCTTGTGAGACACACTCTTGTGTATGGGCTGTCCTCTCCCACCAAAGTCAACATGTACCTGACCAACCTTTCTCACTTTCAGCAACCTACGAAGTGGAGAATTAGGAGGCTCCTTTTGAGCAGACTATTTCCTTTTTTTTTTTTGTGAGGAGATCAGCCCTGTGCTAACATCTGCCAATCCTCCTCCTTTTTTTTTTTTTTTTTTTTTTTTGCTGAGGAAGACTGGCCCTGGGCTAACATCCGTGCCCATCTTCCTCCACTTTATATGGGACGCCACCACAGCATGGCTTGCCAAGCAGTGTGTCGGTGTGCGCTCAGGATCTGAACCGGCGAACCCCGGGCCGCTGCAGCGGAGTGCACGCACTTAACCACTTGCGCCACCGGGCTGGCCCCTGAGCAGAGTATTTCTATACAGAGTGTCACAGGTCAGGAATCCCAAGGCTGATCTGTCTCTCAAGAAGGCACACCCCTGTGAAATGTGTGGCCTGATATTGAGAGACATTTTGCTTGTGGCTGAGCACCAGGAAACACACTGCAAGCAGAAACTGTATGGGTATGGGGCATGTGGGAAAAAATTATATGTCTGTGCAAACCTTCATCAGAAACAGCACATTGGAGAGAAACTCTTCAGAAGCCAAGTGGACAGAGCCTTGTTTGTTAAGAACTGCAAATTCAATGTGTCAGGAAAGCCATTCATCTTCAGGGAGATTAGGAAGGACATTTTGGTCAGCTCTGGATTTCTCCAACAACAGGCCATTCACACCAGGGAGAAGTCAAATAGCAGAACCATGTGTGTGGCAGCCTTTCAGAGAGGAAAAACTCATTATAAGTGGGGAGAATGCACGAATGTCTTTAGCCACAAACACTTGTTCAGCACCAGAGAGTGCTCACTAGGGAAAGATGTTTTATGTGCAATGAATGTGGGAAATCATTTAGCAAAAGCTGCAGCCTCAATACATCAGAAAGTTCACACTGGAGAAAGACCTTATGAGTCTGGGAAATGTGAGAAGTTATTCAACAAGTCCCACTCCATTGAACACCTAAGACGCAACACTGGAGAAAGGCCTTATGATTGTGGGGAATGTGGGGAATCATTTAGGAACAAGTACCACTTCACTGAACATGGAAGAATTCACACCAAAGAAAAAGCTTTTAAATGTGGGGAGTGTGGGAAATTATTTAGCCGGAAGTTTCACTTCAATGAACACTGGAGAGTTCATACTGGAGAAAGGCCATATGAGTGTGGAGAATGTTGGGAATCATTTAGGACCAAGTCTCACCTCGTTGTACACCAGAGAGTTCACACTGGAGAAAGGCCAGTGTGAATGTAGTGAATGCAGTGAATGTGGGAAATCATTTAGACGAAGCTCTGCACTTTTTGAACATCGGAGAATTCACACTGGAGAAAGGCCTTATGAATGTAGTGAATGTGGGAAATCATTTCGCCAGAGCTCTGCACTCCAATGTCCCTGGAGAGTTCGTAATGGAGAAAGACCTTATAAGTGAAGCAAATGCTGTAAATTCTTTAGCTAAAGCTCTCGGTTCCTTCAACATCAATTGTTCACACTGCAACAAGGCATTATGAGTACAGCAAGTGTGGGAAATCCTTTGCTCTAAATCCAGACTTTTTGAACACTAAGAGTTCACACTGGAGAAAGGCCTTATGAGCGTGGTGAATGTTGGATATCTGTTACCTACAACTCTAGTCTACTAAAACACCATAATATTCACACTGGATAATGGCCTTATGAGTGTGGGGAATATGGGAAGTCTTTTAGCCAAAACTCTAGTCTCATTACACACTGAAGAGTTCACTGTGGGGAAAGGCCTAATGAGTGCAGTGTATGTGAACAAACCTTCAGCCTTTTCTCATTGGAAACACAAAGTTCACGTGAGAAAAACACCTTAGATGTGCAGGGGATGTGTTATTTCTTCTTCAGTATAACAACACTAAGGGAGGTCCCTTGTGAGGGTGCCATCTGCCTGAATTGAACCTCATACATCTGAAAATCCACATAAACTCCAGGTATGTTGGATATGCATAACACTTTTTAAATGCCCAGGGCTATTGTCAGGTGTATGTCACTGCCATTCTATAACAAAGGGCTTTTCACCTTGCCACTTGGCTGATGCTAGCTGTGTGCATCACTCACCCACCCCAGTGCGTCCAGGGAAGTAAACCTTGGTGTTTTTCCATTTGCGGGAAGGATTTGTGAGAAGCCTGAGCACTCATTCCTTTATCTCTGATGCGTTAGGCCACAGACCTGGCCCATTTTTGGCTCAGAGGACTCTGCTGGTGACTTGAAAAGATGGACTACCTTTTCTAGGAATACCATTGGTCTCACATGACTATTGTGCTGGAATTTTCCATCCTCCAGTCGTGAACCTGAGAACAGCCTGCTTCCTATTGCTCTGGTTTGTGTGACAATGAAGAATGGTCTTGTTTAAGCTCATTTAATTGGGAATTCTATTAACTGTATGTGGTGACTTGGAAAAAAGTGGGTGCTAACATGAAGGGGTGAACAGTTTTTGTTGGGATCTCAAACTTTGAGTGCCTCAGAGGGGACAGTACGATGGCTCAGAGAATATAGCTCTGTCTCCAGTTTTGTCTTAGTTTCCATTGCTGCTCAAGGCCTAATTTGTAGCCTGAATGCCATGATGTTTTGTGGGTTCAGAGGTCAACCTGTAGAGGTTGTTGTTGTGACAACCTCTAGCGCTTTTAGAGCAACATGAAATTTTACTCCTGTTCACAGGGGTTGCATTGTGCTCAGCACTGCTGGGGGAGGTCTGTTCCCAGGTTCTGAAGTGTAGCCATGTGCCCTGGTATCCTGAATTCTTTAGGGTAGTGTCACTGGTTGTAAGATGATAGGGGGAATCATACTTGTTACAGACACACTGGATTTATTGAAAGTGGAGAAAAGAGACTGCAACAAACTGGAATGCACCTCTTTTAAAAGGTTGTCCAGGGGCCGGCCCAGTGGTGCAAGTGGATAAGTGCACGCATTCCGCTGCGGCGGCCCGGGGTTCGCTGGTTCGGATCCTGGGCGTGCAGCGACGCACGCTTGTCAAGCCATGCTGTGGCAGCGTCCCATATAAAGTGGAGGAAGATGGGCATGGATGTTAGCCCAGGGCCAGTCTTCCTCAGCAAAAAGAGGAGGATTGGCAGATGTTAGCTCGGGGCCGATGTTCCTCAAAAAAAAAAAAAACGTCATCCTCAATGATCTCATCAGCACGGCTGTGAAGGATGAGCACGTATAGAAATTCTTAGGACTTCCACAACTGTGTTTGTGTAGCTGAGTGCCTTGTCAGAGAAAATAATCTAAAGCTTTTGTGGATTTCTGTAGCCTCTTTGGGCTGTTCACTTAAGGCCATTGCTGCACAGGCAGGTAAAGAGCATGAGGAGGAGGGAGATCCCATAGTCCAGCTCTGTGGCCTTTGTGACCAGCCTGTATTCCTGTTGAATCAGGTGGAAATGGCCTTCATCTCTTTACCAGTATTTGATACCACTGAGGCAAGGCGTCTCTCCCAGGGCATGCGGAGACAGGTGGTGGAGTCAATATAGTGTTGCCAAACTTGATTTTCTAAAAACAGAAGGAATTCCAGAGTTTTATTTTGAACCATATTTTAGAGCTTTAAGAAGGTGTAAACGATGTGCAATAAATTGACATATTTGTATAACTTGGTAAGTTTTGACATTCATATAAACTCATGACACCTTTATCACAGTCATAATAATGAACCTATTCATCACCCCGTATTTGCCTCATGCCCTTTATCATCTCTCTCCTTCTGCCCTCCAGTCAGCCAATGATGCAGTTTCCTTTAGAGTCCATTTTCCATTTTCTAGAATTTTATATGATTGAAGTCATAAGGTGTTTACTCTTTTTCCCCGAGTACCCTCATGCAGCATATTTATTTTGAGATTTATTAATGATGCTCATATGAGTAGTTCTTGCTTTTTTTTTTTTTTGTGAGGAAGATCGGCCCTGAGCTAACATCTGCCAATCCTCCTCTTTTTGCTGAGGAAGACTAGCCCTGGGCTAACATCCGTGCCCATCTTCCTCTGCTTTATATGGGATGCCGCCACAGCATGGCTTGCCAAGTGGTGCGTCAGTGCGCGCCCGGGAAACGAACCGGCGAATCCTGGGCCGCCACAGCGGAGCGCACGCACTTAACCACTTGCGCCACCGGGCTGGCCCCTAGTTCTTGCTTTTTATATTTCTGAAAAGTATGATGTTCTGTAGATATACCTCTGTTTATTCATTTATCTGCTTATGGATATTTGAGTTGTTTCCAGTTTGGCTATTGCAAATAAAACTGCTACATAGATTTTAAGCAATTCTTCGTATACATATGTTTCATTTATCTTGTGTTAATATCTTGGGTTCCAATGCCTGAATCACAGGGTAGATGAATACATAACTTTTTAAGAAACATCAAACTGTGATCTAAAATAGTTGTCCCTTTTGTTTTCCTACCAGCAGTGAATGAGACTTTCAGTTCTCCCATAGCCTTGCCAATAGTGGGTATGATTAGTCTTTTAAAATTTCGACCCTTTTAGCCTGCCCCGTGGCTTAGCGGTTAAGTGCACGCACTCCACTACTGGCGGCCCGGGTTCAGATCCTGGGCATGCACCGACACACCGCTTGTCTGGCCATGCTGAGGCCGCATCCCACATACAGCAACTAGAAGGATGTGCAACTATGACATACAACTATCTACTGGAAAAAAAAGGAGGAAGATTGGCAATAGATATTAGCTCAGAGCTGGTCTTCCTCACCAAAAAGAGGAGGATTAGCATGGATGTTAGCTCAGGGTTGATCTTCCTCACACGCACACACACACACAATTTTGACCCTTTTATTTATTTATTTTTTATTTATTTATTTATTTTTTTTAAAGATTTTATTTATTTATTTTTCCCCCAAAGCCCCAGTACATAGTTGTCTGTCATAGCTGCACATCCTTCTAGTTGCTGTATGTGGGACGCGGCCTCAGCATGGCTGGAGGAGTGGTGCCTCGGTGCGCACCCGGGATCTGAACCCGGGCCGCCGGCAGCGGAGCGCACGCACTTAACCGCCAAGCCACGGGGCCGGCCATGACCCTTTTAAATAAATGTGTAAAAATATCTCACTGTGGTTTTAGTTGCATTTCTCTGATGTTTCACGATGGTGAGCATTCCTTCGTTTGTTTATCTGCCACTTGTATGTCTTCTTTAGTAAAATGTCTATTCATATCTTTTGCTTGTTCTTTAAAGTGAATTTTGGGGGGCCGGCCCGGTGGCGTAGCAGCTGGGTTTGCACATTCCACTTCGGTGGCCCGGGGTTCGCTGGTTCAGATCCTGGACGCGGACCTGCTCACCGCTCATCAAGCCATGCTGAGACGGTGTCCCACATAGAAGAGCTACAACTCTACAGCTAGGATACACAGCTATGTACTGGGGCTTTGGAGAGAAAAAAGAAAAAGAGAAAGATTGGCAACAGATGTTAGCACAGGGCCAATCTTCCTCAAAAAAAAAAAAAAAAAGAAACACCCAACCAAACAAACAAAAACAACATAAAATGAATTTTGGCTGTTTCCCTTTTCATTAACAAATAAGATAGTGAAACAACAAACACTTATGTTAAAATTTCATTCTTCAGTGATATGACATCTTTGCCGTAAGGAATTACTGTTTTTGAATACCAGAAGAATATTTTCTAAATATTTTTTTTGCTGTACACAATGCAGTGACTACATACTTTTTAGTTTAATCTGCATTATTAATATATTATCCATCACTTTCTTAAGTCTAGATATTCAACAAAACAATAAATCAAGCCATGATTTGTAGTGTTTTCCATTTTCCCTGGTGTAAACACTTCCACCATGGCCAACTTAAAACTGTCGATGTGATTTCACTGAAAACAGAGTTGGTAAGAGTTGCCAAGTAGCACACTATTCTATTCTATTTCTGCCATACTGATGGAGTAGCTGCAATTAACCTCAAGAACATAGAAAATAATCAAATGTAGTATAATGATTAGAAAGTGAGAAGTTTTTATATTTGATTTTCAAAAAGTTTAATGGAGGTCTAATTGACTTAAACTGCATATGCTTAAAAGGTACATTTTGATGTTTGATGCATACTGACACCAAAAGTTTCTTCCTGCTTTTTAAAATTTATCCTCAACATACAAAATTACTGATACAATGACATATTCTATCTTTTGTTAGGGCTGTTTTCAAATATATACGGCAAAGGAAAAGACGGTTACAAAGCCAGATGAACCCATCCCAATCTTCCATCGTTATTTGTCGTTTCAGGGCTGTTCTTGTTGCATCT